CTATCTGCTAGAGTGTTACATGAGGGGAAGGCATGTGATTTTGGCTTGTGGGCCCTGAGGCAAGTGGCTGGAGGAAATAGGAGGTTCTACTGGTCTGCAGGCCCCTGGTGCAGATGGCTGAAGTAGAAGCAGGCACCTCTTGTTTGTGGGCCCCTGGTGCCAGTAGCTGTGCAGATCAGCAGACACATTGGTTCAGGGCTCCCAGTGTAGGTGGCTGGGGCATAGGAGTGGGAGCACCATCCCATGGGTCCCCAGTGCTGGTGGTCTGGCAGAGAGGCAAGCACCATTGATGCATGTGTTTTTAGTACAAGTGGCTGAACAAAAGGGTGAGTGCCACTGGTTTATGGGCTCTAAGCTTTGGAGATGAGGTGGTGGTTGGTGCTGTCAGATCATAATCATATGGGTGGGGGGGTGAATGATGAGGCAGAAGGGCACTTCTGCAGTGTCTGTGGACCTCTGGGTCAGGAGGCTGAGTGGGTGCAGTGTATAAGGAGAGTGCACTTAACTTTCATAGGTTGGGGCACACTCTAGTCTGGCTCTGGACGTGGGTGCAGAGTTGCTCCTGCTTGGTTGCACAATGTGATGGGGCCTTCTTCTAGAAAAGCTGCTTGCTTTGTCTCAGTATGGCTGTGGTGTATAAGTTCAGCTGGCAGTCCACTGGCTATCCATAATTCTCCACATCTGCTGTTTTTGTACTCTCTCCTTCACCTTGGCACTTGGTCCAACTCTTTAGCTTACCTTCGACGCTCTAGGTTCCAAAGTTGTTATCTATAGCCATTTACTTGTTTTCTTGGGTCTTTGCTGTGAAAAAACATTATGAGGTGTCTGACCATGCCGCCACCTTGGACCTCCTCCTCCTCTTTGTATTTCTCATCTACTATAGTTTTTCGTTCATTTGAGCATGGTTATGCCATTTTAAATAAACTTTAAAAGTTTTAAACAAACTAAAATTCTTTATCATTGTTAACTGTTCTGGAAGGGGGTCAGATTTTGCATCTACAAATAAGAGCATCTTGACAAGATTCAGTATATAATTGTTAAAATTTTTTAAAAGTTTATATGCCACCTAAAATCATTTTGAATATCTTAATGGTTATAAGCTTACAAGTTCCACACCATCAGGAAATAATGGAGTAAATGGATTCCTTTAGCTCTCACATGTTTTGATTTTTATTTTTGATAGGACAAACAGTGGGAGAAAATTTATGACATTGAGAATAATAAAAATAAATAAGTAGCATTAACTAATTGCAGAGTTACTGAGTAAGTTACATTAGAACTTCTAGTTCATTCTGGGAGCTCTGGTGGCGTAGTGCCTAAGGCATTTGACAGGTAACCAGATGCTGGCAGTTTAAACCCACCAGCCACTCCTTGGAAGGAAGATTGGGCAATCGACTTCTCTAGAGATACCACCTCAGAAACCCAAGGAGGGGTCGCTATGAGTTGAATTGACTCTACAGCATTGAGTTTCTTTTTAGTTCATTGTAGATGATTGAACTATAAATTCATCACTTCTTGAGATCAAAATGAAATGAAGATATACAAACGTAAAAATGGAAAATCCATGATAATTAAGAGATTTGGAGGCAAGGGAAGGAGGATTGATTATGACTAATATATTTCAACAAATTTCCAGAACACAGAATGTGGCTGGGAGGGGGTAAATAGAAATGACAAAGCTACAACATAGACTGTGTGAAAAGGGAACTATGAAAAGGTGGCTGATGGAATCCCAGAGAGATTTTTGGGCTCATAGGCAATATGTAAAATTAATTTAAGACATAAGTGAAAAATAGAGCAAAACACAGGAATTTATTCAAGGTTGATATATGGAACATGGGCTCCGCTTGAATTCCTTATCTGCCACCTCCATCCTTGGCACTTACTACCAGGCATGAACAATTTCATTGAGAGAAGACTTTCATACTGAAACTCCCTTCATTCTAAAACAAAAAGTCTGTCAGTTAACCCATCCTTCTCCAACTTAGCCTACACAAAAAGCATCTAGTCAGTAGATAATCAGTTATCTCTATTTGTGTATTAGGGCCTGGATAACATAGAATTTCAAAACTATAACTCCTACTAGATTCAGAATTCATTAGTAACTACCAAGTCACCCCTAAATCTCAGCAACCATAAAGCATAACCATGTCAATATTGGATATTATCAGCCTTTAAAAATTTTTGCCAATCTAATAGGTAAAAATACACTCTGATTGTTTTAATTTGTTCTTTTCTGATCACCTTTCCACCACTCATCTGTCAGTTTGTTGTACTCTGGTGGCTTGAGTGTTGCTGTCATGCTGGAAGCTATGCCACTGGTCACCCATTATGGGCAGGAATTCTGGAATACTTAATTATGCTCATGAGGAACCTCTACAGAGACCAAGAGGCAGTTGTTCCAGTAGAACAAGAGGATGCTGCATGGTTTAAAATCAGGATGACCATGTTTTAGGGTTGTATCCTTTCACCATACTTATTCAGTCTGTATGCTGAGCAGATAATCTGAGAAGCTGGACTATATGAAGAAGAGTGTGGCATCAGGATTGGAGAAAGACTCGTTAATAACCTGAGATATGCAGATAACACAACCTTGCTTGCTGAAAGTGCAGAAGACTTGAAGCACTTACTGATGAAGTTTAAAGACTACAGCCTTCAATATGGATTAAACCTCAACATAAAACAAAAATCCTCACAACTGGGCCAATAAGCAACATCATGATACATGGAGAAAAGATTGAATTGGTCAAGGATTTCATTTATTTGGATCCATAGTCAACGGCCATGGAAACAGCAGTTACAAAATCAAACAATGTAGTGCATTTGGCAAATCTGCTGCAAAAGACCTCTTTAAGTTGTTAAATAGTAAAGATGTCACTTTGAAGACTAAAGTGTGCCTGACACAAGCCATGGTATTTTCAGTAGCCTCATATGCATGTGAAAGCTGGGCAGTAAATAAGGAATACTACAGAAGAATTGATGTCTTTGAATTACTGTGTTGACAGAGAATGATGAATATATCGTGGACTGCCAGAAGAACAAACAAATCTGTGTTAGAAGAAGTACTGCAATGCTCTTTAGAAGCAAGGAAGGTGAAACTTCATCTTTCATACTTTGGTCATGTTATCAGGAGGGACCAGTCCCTGGAAAAAGATACCATGCTTGGTAAAGTAGAGGATCGGCGAAAAAGGGGCAGATCCTCAGTGAGATGGATTGACACAGTGGCTGCAGCAGTGGGCTCAAGCAGAGCAATGCAGGACCAGGCAGTGATTCGTATATAGGATTGTTATGAATTGGAACCAACTCAGTGGCACCTTACAGCAACAATTGAGCATCTTTACCTGTGTTAATATTATCAATTTGTGGTAGTTTTTTTTTCCCCCTCCTCCCTTGTGAATTATTTGTGTGTGTCCTATGTCAATTTTTCTGTTGGGCCGTTTGTCTTTATTTGTCAGAATTCTTTGTTCAGGATATTGATCCTTTTTTCTTATGCTGTAAATACTTTCTCCTGTTCAGTTTTTGTCTGTTGATATATTTATGGTACCTTATACCATAAAACCAGAAAATCCAAATTGATTGCCATCGAGTTGGATTCCATATGGAGCTATAAATCTTTTCCTAAAGTCTCTTTCAATTTATATTTTGACTAAGAAGATCATTTGCTTGGGAAGATCAGACATTTCTTATTTTTTCTTCTGATATATTTATAGTTTTATGTTTTACTTTTAAATTACTTATCTGTCACAAATTTTGTTTTCTGAGCTAAAGATATAAATATTAACATGTATATGCCCCCAAAAGGAGCTCTGGTAGTGTAGTGCCTAAGGCACTTGACTGAAACCAGAAGGCTGGTGGTTCAAACCCACCAGTCACTCCTTGGAAGGAAGGTTAGGCAATCTACTTCCATAGTGATACTGCCTTGGAAACCCAAGAAGGGGTCCCTATGGATAGCCAATTCCATAGGGCACTGAATAGTCTCTTTTCCTCACCAGTTTGAAAGACCAATTACAGTATTTTGTGGATGATTAAAGAGTTATAAGAAATGTGATATTTTTTCTTTCATACAAGGAAGATTTAAGTTTTGAAACAAAGTTCAAAGACAGTAGGGTAGATCTGTAGGAAGTCAGGAGTAAATTAAGGGACTGTTTTAGAATTTATAGCACTAAACTGTATAGGATTAAAAATACAGGTAGGATAGAGAAAGAATATACCTAGGGCAAACAAATATGTACTAATATAGCTATATAGTAACCAAGGATAGCAATTGAGCAACTCATGTAAGGTTGCATTACAAAGGAATTCTTGGGCTTTTTTTTTTTTCTTTGTGGAATAATTTTATTTGCTGTGTAATAGGTGTTACCATTAACTGTGCTGTAGGGAAAAATAAGAGTGAGCTCTTTTAGTTTAACATATCTATGTGTGTTTTGCATATTTAATTATAGTTTATATATTCAGAGCTATTAATATATGAAAGATAATTATTTTCAATTCTGGAAAGTTTGGATTTGTAACAATGTAGAAACTATGTGATTTAAGACTATGACTACTGAAAGTCCACATCCAGAGGAAAAAGATGTTCTAAACAATCAGGTGCATATACAGAGGACAGTTTCTGTGGTAAACTCTTATTGGACTAAATTTGAAGTGTGTTGGAAGTGTCCACCACTTGTCTGTCAGTTTGTCATCCTGTGGTGGCTTGTATGTTGCTGAAATGCTGGAAACTATGCCTCCTCCTGAGTTTCAAATACCAGCAGGGTCACCCATGGTGGACAGGTTTCCATGGAGCTTCTAGCCTCAGACAGACTGGGAAAAAGAATGGAGCCATCCCCTTCTGAAAATATTGGTCACTGACAACCTTATGAATAGCATTGAAGGACTGTCTGATGTTGGAAGTAGGACTGTATTAATATAAGTTTTAAATTATTGACCTGTAAGATAATTGAAAAATATTACTTTAAGTCTTCTCTTTATTCTACCTCCATTTTTTTCTCTTGTTACAGATCATACTTCAGTTGGTGGACTGGGAGATAGTTTTTATGAATACTTACTGAAAGCATGGTTGATGTCAGATAAAACAGACCATGAAGCAAGAAAAATGTATGATGATGCTATTGAGGTAATTATTATCAGAACATTTTAATGCTTAATATATTGAATATACAGTGTGAATATTTGATAGTGACTAGACAAATATTACCATTTATTATATGTATCCAGGAAATGCATACAATGCATATAATCATTTGTCATATGCATTTATTGTATAGTTTGTTAGCATTATAATATAAAAGGCATATATTACTTTTTCTGTATTGTAGCATTTTGAAAAAAATTATTGAAGAAAGAATTTGGTATAGTTATTTTAATTGCTTTTGGTTGTTTTCTACAAAGACAGAAAATTTCTAACTTAAAATACATTTCCTTAAATATTTCTTCTTTCAAATGATTACCCATTGTAGGCACTCAGTTATAATGCCAGCAGAGTTATATAGTGTTTTCCATGCACTAGGCACTGTTCTAACTCCTTTTTCATATATGACATCATTTAACCATTACTACCATTTTACACACAAGGACCTTAAGGCACAGAGAGGTTAAGTAGCTTAGTGAAGGTCATATAGCTGGTAAGTGATGAAGCCTGGAACAAAACATTCTGGCCCCACAGCCTGTGCTTGTAATCTCTGTACCATATTGTTTCACAATCGTATAATGTCATACTGTGACACTGTGAAATTTTAAAATCCAAGTAAGACTCATTCTTGGAAACATTTAGATAGGATATTTCCAAACAACAACTGAAATTAAAAAGTGTATGAGTAATTTAGGAGCTCTGGTGGCATCATGGTTAAGGCATTGATCTACTAACCTGAAGGTCAGCTGTTTGAACCCAACAGCTGCTGTGTGGGAGAAAGATGAGATAGTCTGCTTCTGTAAAGATTTATAGCTTTGGAAACTTACGGGGCAGTTGTACTCTGTTCTTTAGGGTCGCTGTTAGTCGGAATCAACTCGGTAGTGGGTATGAACAGTTTAGTAAGTAATTTTATTTATCATCCATTACAAATTAATGATTTTACATATAAAAACACCATTCTGGCTGTAGTTAGTATCTGTTTTCAGACATACAGTTTTGTTTTTATTTTTAATTGAACCAAGAGTATTATGACCCATTTTATAGTCTTACTTTTTAGAGACCTGATTCCTTACAGAGACCTGATTCCTTACAGTTGCTTTTAAAAATGCACAGATGTTGAATTTAATACATAGTATACATTTCTTTAAAGGAGCTCTGGTGGCATAGTAGATAAGGCATTTGGCTGCTAACCATAAGGTCAGTGGTTCAAACCTACCAGCTGCTTTGCAGGAGAAAAATGAGGCAGTCTACACCTATAAAGAGTTTCAGCCTTGGAAATTAAAAATGGAAAACCCTATGAGGCATTTCTACTCTGTCCTGTTGTGTCGCTATGAGTTGGAATCAAGTTGGTGGCAGTGGGTATTTGATTTTATCTTTGCCCATTGTAGGCACTCAGTGTTTGCTAAAGCACTGAGTAAATAAATTTAACTAATTGATATATAACCAAGAATTAAAATTTTAGTAGGACTTCTAAAATTCTTTATGAAGTCTTAAACTTTGAAAAATTTGGAAGTTTCATTTCTTTTATTAAAATTTAGACCAAATATTTTTTCATCTAAGGAAGTCATTAAGTAGGAAGAATTTAATATTTTTAGAATCATAGTGTTGAAGAGATCCCTTAGTCATTCCCACTAGACTGTGGGCTTCTTGAGGGCAAAAGCTAATTTGTTTATATTTGTCTCAGCACCTACTGCAATACTTGAAACATAATAGGTCTTCAGTAGGTATTGGATAATTGGAAATATAACATGCCATATACCATGTCATTATTATTTTTTCCTTCATAGCTTGCTGTTTTCTTGTAATACTCTGAATCTAAAACCATGTTTTCTTATACTTAATTCTTGATAGAAGTAAATAATTATATATATTTGGAAAGATATATCTATATGAAAGTTAATAACCTCATTAGATTAAAATTATTTTCCACAAAATATCTGCTATACAAGTTACTTGTTTTCATTAGTTTTTAGAGAACTCTTAGAATGAACATGTAATAAATGTATTTTAATGACCAGTTTAGTTATTTTTCATTTTGAAGCATAATCTTAAGTATGCAGTTTTTGTTATGGTAGTTTAATTATCTTCAGTAAACATTAGTTTTGTAAATAGAATATGTACACATTATACCTAAGTGATATGGAATCTTGGGAGAGGTAGGAATGATTACTTATTTTGAGATCCATTGTAATTGGAAGTAAACCGTATTTTAAATTGCCTTATTCCATGTAAATTATTCTACTCAAAACTATCCTCCTCTATACATACAGATAGATACCTGCATCCTGGTTCTTCTATCCTAGTTTTTCTTTTCAAAAATTATATACAGTTACAGGTTTTGTGTTCTGATCTAGTTTATGTTTAGTCTTTAATTTTTTTAATTGTGAAGAAAAAATATACTTTTTAAAGGTAATTTAGGAGCAGGAAAGTAATACCAGTGATAGTGAAAATTTGTTTAACATCTTTTATTTGAAATGTAACAATACTTCTTTAAACTGCCTTTCAGCAGTTTGTCATTTCATACAAGTTGAATTGTTAGAATTTGTCATATTTATATAAGACAATTATAAGAGTCTATAAGCAGTAAAAAGCCCTATCTTTTCCCCTCTTTTACTTTAGTCCTATTAGGTTCATGGGACCTTGTTTGTATAGCTTTTAATTATAACTTCTGGTTAGCAGTCAAGTGCCTTGGGCACTACACTATCAGAGCTCCTTTATTACTATGTAGAATACATTTTTCTGAAGCTAGTTATAATGACATTATTTTATAATGAATAAAACAAATTTTATAATGAATAAAAATATTGTATAAAATATAGAACTAAAATACAGATGCCATTCTTTAGGCATTTATTGACATTTATTGACTGCCTGACATGTGGAAAACATGCTAGATGCCATGAGAACCACAAAATGAAGAACATTGCCTATACTCAACAAATGGATCTTTTCATTTGTGCTTCAGGGTACTATGCTTAAAAGACAACTTATGATCCATTGGTAATCACTTCTCATTTTGGTTATCAACCCTTCAGTCCCGTTATAGGTTAAATACTAGTATCTAAGAGCACCATTTATTTATTTGTATGTACTTATTAATTAAACATTTATTTATTACTTAGCTACATTATAGACCTTGTGAAACGTAAGATGATGACTTAAGGCATAATTCCTACAGCTCTTAAAAGCCTACATTATCACTCTATGTTGTTGTTACGTGCCATCCAGTTGGACCTGACTCATAGCTACCCCCGACTCATAGCAACCCCTCCTTGGGTTTCTGAGGCAGTATCACTATGGAAGTAGATTGCCCAACCTTCCTTCCTTCCGAGGAGTG